CACACACACTTTAATTCCATTTTTACATTTTCTCATATTTTTTTCCTTTTCCCTTTTTCCCCTTTCCCTATCCTTCTCTGTCCCTACACCTTTGGTCCTTTTCTTCCTATTTCACATAAATTAGCCATTTTAAAGTGAACACAGTTCAAAGGCGTTTAGCATATTGACAGTGTTTGTAATTACCACTTCTGTCTAACTCCAAAACATTTTCATCATCCATTTTTACATTTTCTCATATTTTTTTCCTTTTCCCTTTTTCCCCTTTCCCTATCCTTCTCTGTCCCTACACCTTTGGTCCTTTTCTTCCTATTTCACATAAATTAGCCATTTTAAAGTGAACACAGTTCAAAGGCGTTTAGCATATTGACAGTGTTTGTAATTACCACTTCTGTCTAACTCCAAAACATTTTCATCACAAATGCACACCTGTTAAGCAGTAGCTTGCCATTCTCTCCTGGACTGCTGTCCTAGCCCCTAATTACCACTGTTTGGTGTCTCATTGCTTTGGATATTACCTATAAATGGAATCATAAGTTATGTGCCCTTTTCTGTCTGGCTTCTCTTATTTAGCATAAAGTTTTTGATGTTCATTCCCATTGTACCACAGATCGGTACCTTTGGGTACTGGGATCAAACTCAGGACCCTGCACTTGCCAGGCAAGCGCCGTGCCACTGAGCTAAATCCCCAGCCCTTTGAGCTAAATCCCCAGTCCCCTTTTCATAGGTTAGTAACACTCTAATTGTGTGGATATTCCACAATGTGTTTATCCAGTCACTGTGAATGGACATTAGGCTGTCTGTACCTGACTACCTTGTACACAGACTTTCAGTGCAAACTCCTGTCTTTCAGCCCTGTGCCTGCCACCCCCACCCCACCCCAGATATGCTTGGTGCTGTTTGAACCTTTTGTGGGGATTTGTGGTGCAATCTTGCTTTTAGATTCTTTTTCCTCTCTTAACATTAAGTTTTCTGTGTCCTCCCAAGTTAGCTGTCACATGTCATTCTATTTTCCAACTTACTGAATGTTGTAGCAGTTACTTTCATTTCTGTTTTCTTTATTCTTGTGGGTTTGTCCCTTCCAAGACAACTTCTTTACTGAGCTTTTAATGGGGTCTCTAAACAGAGCAGTGGTAGACACAGTGTGCCATCTCCAATTCAGATACTTTCCTATTTGGGCATTTCTCTTATCAAAACAAGGTAAGGATATTAAAATACATTTTGGGGAAAAGTGGGAATACTGACGTTAGGTAAATAGTGATGAGCCAATAAAAGAGCACAGCCAGCTTGAATTTGGAATTTGAGCAAGACCATTTGGAGTAACTCTAAAGAAGAGTCTTGAGTAGCTTGAGCTGTTTTTTTATGGATAGGGTCAGTGGAGGAGAGCGTGGTTTGAATGAAGCAAGAGTAGCTGAGTTAGCCATAGCAATGGTTCATGTTTTATTGTTGGAGGTGTGTGACCTAGTAGCACAGGTGGGAAGGCAACAGGATGTGGGAGTATTGTTTTGGGGCTTCACATGGCTGGGAATGGCCACTCTAGGAACTCAGGCAGCAGAGGGCAATTGGGGGTCAGACCTATCAACCATCATCTTAAATAATCACAATTTTCTGTATTTCCTGGATTCTGTACTTATGCATGTGACTATTTATTTATTTATTTATTTTCCATTAAGTTTATTGATACATTTTAGGTATACAGTACAGTTACATTCATCATTAGGATCTTGTACCTTCTCGTGATGTATCTTGGTTCTTATTTTTTCCCCGTTTCTCTGCTGTCTCTTCAAACCTTCACACACCCTACCCTATTTACAAAGAGTTTGTTTCCATGTTTTTCCTTCTCTCCTATTTTTTTCTTTTCCCTTCTACTTCTTCTTACCCCTCCTATTTCCCCTACTCCTTTAGACCTTTTCTTCCTGTTTCACAATATCAGTTATACATTTTGATCCTTGCTTACACTGTTAGTTTTTCACACCAGAGAAAGTATTTGATATTTACACAAGTGTGTCCTATTTATTTCACTTAAATGTGGCCTTTTATTTAATAGTTAAAAGTTTTAGTCACCATCTAAATATCACCTACTTTTTAAATGTAAATATTTCACTCGTGTTCCTGGTGATTATTTTCAAAAGTTGCCTATTTTTTTATGGATTTAACACATAACTGACTTAGATCCCCAACTAGTGTGTTGAGTTTTACAGTATAATAGAGCTAATATTTTATAAGACTTTTAATATAGAAGCATTAAATGCAGGCATTCTTAGATTCTCAAGTACAAAAATTTAAGTTTTTAATGTTTTAAGAATTGGTAGGTCGAGGAAAACATATGCTATTATTGCATATGTAAGGTCTTACCATAATACAGTGGTACCTCGGTTCACAAACACTCTTGTTTGTGAACGATTTGTTTTGCAGACAGAAGTGTTTGGCAAAATTTTGTTTTTGTTTGCAAATTCTACACTGGGTGATGAACAGGTGGCCAGAACACAAATGTGGCCATCTTTTCCAGAATTGTGGAAGAAATTAAGTTTGTGAACTGAGGTACCACTGTAGAAGAGCCAAATGTACTGAGTGCTTTGTGTGATATGCTAGCACTTAACTTGTTTTTTTCTTTTTTTTGGTACCAGGGATTGAACTCAGACACGACATCACTGAGTTAAGTCCTCAGCCCAACTTGTGTTTTTTCTTTTGCTCCCTGCAGTACTATCCTGAGGTCATACAATTAACCTTGTTTTCAGTTGAGAAAATGAGTAGTGTCTGATTTTCTGATTCATCATCCAATAGATAGTATATGGCAAAGCCCAAGCTTAGAACCAAGGGGCTGGAACAGTTGGAAATTCTTTCCTAAAATTGTCTTTCAAAAGAATTACCAACAATATGCACTGCTCCTTTTTTTGGTGGGGGGTACTAGGGATCGAACTCAGTACCTCGCTCTTAACAGGCAGGCGCTGTGCCACTGAGCTACATCCCTGGCCCATGCAGTGCCCTTTTCAAAAGGAGAAAACTAATTTTGACCACTTTTCAGCATGGATATTTCTACAGTCATAGTGAGAATACAAGACTAGATTGAAATAGGCTTCAAGTGGTAGGTCTTGAGCTTCATGTCTTATTATATGTGGCATTATTTACTCATTCACTTATTTATTCATTCAGCAAATTTGTTGAGTGCTCTAATCACTTGAACTTCCATTGAAGAATTATTTGAGTCTGAAAAGACAAAATTCTCACTGAGAGTCCTTAAGCTTTTGATGTTGTTACCATCTCATGGGGTTTCTTTGCCCCCTGCAGAAATTAATGAACATCAATTACCTGGGCAGCGTGTACCCCAGCCGAGCAGTTATCACCACCATGATGGAGCGCCGGGTGGGCAGGATCGTGTTTGTGTCCTCCCAGGCGGGACAGTTGGGATTATTTGGATACACAGCCTACTCTTCATCAAAATTTGCCATAAGGGGATTGGCAGAAGCTTTGCAGATGGAGGTAAAAGTTGTATTCATGTTTGTGTTTTTCTTTTCATCTCAGCAATATGTGAGCTTTTTAGTTTTCTGACTTCTTTACCTGTTTTGGCATTAAATTAGATGTGTAGGTTTAACATTAGTGAAAGAGAATTGAATTTAACTATTTCTATTGCCTGAGAATTATACTTATGACAAAAACAGCATGGTTATGGGATTTTGCCTAATTAATGCACAAAGTGCTAGTAATATCTTCATGATATTGTTGGTCTAATATTCTGTGAGTATGTGTAAGGTTAGTGAGATAATTTTATTCCGTAGAGATCTTCCTTTAACAAGATCTGCCCTTATGATTGAATAATAAAATTATTGAATGTTTAAAGGAAGAGCTAGAAAAGGATATTAACTTTTAGAGAAGCTATTTAGCTTGTTTTCATCTGCACAGTTAGAGAACTAGATAAAAACATTTGGCTCTCCTAATATTTTTTTTTATCTTAAAGAAACATTTGAGAAAGTGAGTGCTTTTTATTTTCACAGTAAATAGAACATTTTAGGGATGAGAGGTGTAGTTAAGGTTACCTTGAAAATAAATGTCATGCTGTGAACAACCTCTCACTTCAGCTGTGTGAGGTCAGTTTCTGCAGTGTTGTCACATGGGGGTGCTTAGAGAGCGTCATTTATATCTCCAGCCATAATTGCATGCTGAACAAGGCAGGGTAAAATTCATTCTATTGCAGTATACAGTAGAAGATAATTGAAATATAATACTATGTCATGATGTTAAAAGTCCAGAGGAGAATTTGTTGTGGTCAGCCCTCTTAGAGAATCTTGGTTAATAGTTTAGATCAGAGGTCAGCAAATTAAAACTTTTTTTTTCTTTTTTTACAAATGGCCAGATGGTAAATATTTTAACTTTTTGAGGACCAGATAATGTCTACTGAAGTCTATTGTGGTAGTGGGAAAGCAGCCATAGTAGATTACACATAAATAAGCAGGTATGACTGTTCCAGTAAAACTTTATTTATAAAAGCTGGCAGAGGGCCAGATGTGGCTCACAGACTATAGTTTCCTGACCTGTGTTTATAGAAGATCCCTGAAGAAACCATGGTGATGTGTGACAAAGCCTTACACTGCCTAGGTATTGGGCAAATTTGGGGGCAGTGGCTATGTCCTAATGGCCCACTTAAAGATTGACAAACTATACTGTTCTACAAAAGGAAGCAGTTACAGAGTTTGTCCTTAGTACTTGGCTTAATACTTTTAATAATCATTATAACATAATTAACCGACAGGACCCTCGTAAATGAAATTTCAAACAACGTACTGGTTATTCCTTTTGCAGTTACTACTTCCTGTTATGGCTTGTGTCTAGATGTCCCCCCAAAGCCTCATGCATCATAGGTGGGGCTTTTTCAAAAGTGGCTGTCTCTAGAGTGTGTGATGCTGGGATTGATCCCTGGTGCAGTGCTAGGATTGAGGGCACTAGGATTAAGTGTTTGAGTGCTGCCCGTTCTAAGTAGCCTAGATAAGATATAAGGGATAGAAAGAGCTGTGATTGTCCCTTGCCTGCTTTGCTACCTTCTGCCTACCATGAACTGTTTCTCCTCTGTGGCCCACCCTGCCTTGGAGCCAGCCAGTTATGTACTGCAACCTTTACAAACTGAGCTAAATATACGTCTTCTCCTTTAACTTTGTGTGTCAAGTATTTTGTCTCAGCAACAAGAAAGGTAATTAAGACAGTCCCTTTGTGAAAAGCAATTTTTTAAATCATAATCTTGTGAAATATATGAGGCAGCTGTCATGATGTTCATCATATAGAAAGAAAACTGACTTGGTTCAAGTCTTATAGTTTCTTAATGACAGAAGCAATGAGGCCCAAGCCTTCAACTCCAGGTTTTTGTTGCAGAGGATTTGTCTGTAACTCAGAAGCTACATCATGACTCATTAATTTAGAGCAAAGTGTAAAATATGGGTGACCTGGTTTCATTTCAGGTAGAAAAGAGATGCTAATTCAGAAGAAGAGAAAGAAAATGAGTTGCTAGTACCATGTTTGCCCAGCTTTGGGGACGAGTGTGATTCACATGGTGCAGGTAGCTGGCCTAGAATCTCAGATCTGCTTGACTTTTATCACTCGTTCAGCCCCATTAAAACTGTCCCTATTTAAAGAGAAAATAAGTATTTGCCATGAAAAGTAGGCTATTTGGGCAAAATAAGTCTACAGAATCTAGTTTGTTCATAGTAGAACTTATATATAAAACCAGTTATTTCCCCGCAAATTATTAGTCATGTGTTTATAAAACCTGAATAATTTAGTCAGTTCTATGAATGAAGCCAATATAATTGCTCAAACTCTAACTTTTTCATCTCTAACCATCTACTTTTTTAAGGCTGCCCCACCCCCAAAACTAGGGTTAGGACTCAGGCCTTTGCACTGAGCTGTATCCCTATCCCTTTTTATTGTTTATTTTGAGACAGATTCTCGCTAAGCTACCCAGGCAGGATTCAAAATTGTGATCCTCCTGCCTCAGCTTCCCACAGTTTTGTGTTTACAAGTGTGTGCCATCATGCCTAGTTTATACTTTTCGTAAATCTTTTTGGTTCAATATGCTTTCAAATCTTCCCTTTCCCCTCTTTTGCTCCAAACGAAGGTAGGATCCTGGGAATGTTATAGGTACAGTGAGTAATTTTGAAAGAATGCTTTGTTGGCATTTAGGTGGAAGGGGGTGTCTTTTAGGTACAAATATAACATTAAAATTTTTAAAAATTTAATGTTTTTGGAAACAAGAACAAGTGAACCCAAGCTACTCTCCTTCCCTTTTTTTTGATAGGACTATGAAATTAATAAAGGAAGGTGTAAATATAATTTAGTGTGTTCCGATTTTAGCAAATTATATAACGAAGAGTTTTAGGAGAGCAGAAGCTCCTTGAAAACAAAGATTGTATGTTTTGTTCATACCTGTATGTGTCATTCTTAGAATAACATTGGCACATAATAGTTTAGTCAGTAGGCATTGTTAGATAAATAAATTAAAAAGTCTGTGTGATGTTACTGTCTTAGTTTTTTCTCATTGCTGAGACAAAATACCTGACACAGACACCCACAGTTAAAGGGAAAAAGGTTTATTTAGCTTACAGTTTGCCCATAATCAGCTGGCTCCAAGGCAGAGTGGCACATAACAGTGGCACATTACATCACAGAGGAGTAGTAGTTTATGGCACCCACACAGTAGCATAAGCAGCAAGGGAACCTTAACATCTTTCTGCCCTTTTTTATCTTATCCAGACTACCAAGATTGGTGCCAAACCAATCAGTGTATTGGTTTAGTTACACACACCCTTAATCTCAGCATCACGCTGTAGATTCAGCCACCTGTGACTGCATGAGGCTTTGGGGTGACATCTAGACCCAAACCATAACACTTACTACACATTGGAAGCATCTAATCCAAGACTGGGAGACTGTAGAAAGGATACTAGCCCAGAACAGATTGGACTGGTTCCCTTCAATCTATGGTCCCATTACTGGAAAAAGTGTTCTGAAAAGCTCTGTTTAACCACTGGCAATTCAGCCATAACCTTGACAGGGAGAAACACTGCTTTGAAATGCTGTCATACACTGGCTTAGATACCATGACCCTTACTTACTGTGGGGGAGGGATGCAGACATAGAAATGACTCTGGTGGAGTAGCCAGCATCAGTCTTTATATGGACTAATTACCAGTTACTGGCTCTTTTGTGTTGTTTTTCTTTGGTCCGTATGCAATGGAGGACAAGGCGTGGGAAACTTATTTTTTTAAGTCTCTGTCTCAGAAACAAGTGGAAGGGGCATTGCTTGCTCATCAACCTCCTCTGTTGGCTCCTATCCACAGCCATTTATGAGCAGAGCTGCACCAAGAGGCTGAATGTTGAGCTTTCTCAGACCCTGGCTGCACTGGAACAAAACCAGCAGAGGCATCATCTCCCTTTGCTATTGTGCTTCCCAGGATGGCTGGCCAGGACCTTCTGGTCCTTCCTCCTGACCTTTGCAACTCTCCCATGTGGCTTTGGAACTGCTTTACAGAGGGAACTTGGAGAAAAAGGGCTGACGATAAGACAAGTCCCTGGGAAACTTGAGGCGGTTGTATTGTGTGTTATCAGTTTTCAGTCTAATGTGAATTTGCCATCAAGATTTTCAGTAGCTGACCTTACTGTTAGCTGCCTCAACTTCCAGATCTCCTGGATGTTATCATGGGGCTAAAAAATGAGCCAATAGCAAATAAAAATCGTGACATAGAGATTTGGATGGATGAACCAGTGCTCTCGGAGTTGATAATCATAGGGGCAAGATGAGGGTGTGTAGCAGGGCTGCTGCCAAGCAGTCTTTGGGGAAGGTATGCCATGGCTGACCAGCAGAAGAATCCACTGGGCTTCTTGGGGATATGTTTATGAGTGAGGGAGTTAAATGTAAAGTTAGGGTGTCCAGATAAACAAGTGTCAAAGGTGCAAGATGGAGATTTGGATCAGATAGAGGGAGGACCTGTAAAGAAAAGCAAGGAAGGAGTTTCTGTAAGTAGCGATTGTGCTTGTCAGCAGAATTGCTGGGCTGGCCTGACTTGGGGGTTCCACCCAGGGAGAGAATGCTTTTGGTTAGTGCTATGGCCGAAGAAGTGACTCCTGACCTTCTGATGAGCAGGGCTGGCTGCAGGACTTCTTGAGTAATACTTCTCCCAGAATGGAAGTAGTTCTAGACTTGGGTCTGAGAGGGCCATAAGGGACCACATCATAGTTTATAGATGAAATTAACATAACAAGAATATCAGAAGCAGCCTGCAGAGTAAAATACATGTGCAGTCTGGTGGATAAGGAACAGCCCTTGGATGGTATACAGAGTCTGGGAGGGTGAGTGGACTGCGTTCCTCGGTGGACAGCTCCTGGGGTCCCTGCCTGGTCAGCGGGTCAGCTGTTCTGTAGCATAGAGGTCAGGAGAAGCGTTCTGCCTTCTTTTCTAAATCATCTCCATGGAGTGGGGTTTCCTGTGCAGTTGGTGGTATTCTTCACTTACAGAAACACCCTGTGGGCCTCCCCACCTTCTGAGAATCAGGGCAGCCAAAGCAGATTGGTGGGATAGGACACAAAATTGTGCATCCCAAACTGAAAGTTCAAACCTTATATCCCTGATGCAGGTGAAGCCATACAACGTCTACGTCACAGTGGCCTACCCACCGGACACGGACACCCCTGGGCTTGCCAAGGAAAACAAAACAAAGGTCAGTACCTTTCATATCCATTCTCAGTCTTTAATGTTGGAAGGCCCTTTTCTGATTTTCTTTTCCTTTTTCTCCAGTTTAAGGTCGTTTGTCAGTCCCTGGTGTTTCTGGGTGTCTTTTGGGTACCTGAGGTTCTCTGCATAAATTGTCCTTCTTTCCTTCCTGTCCTCCCAACCCCCTTTCTTAACATTTAATTTAAATTTTTGTTGAAATCTATCACGGTGCTCTGTTTACCTCATCACTTGCCCAGAATCAGTTCTTTTACCTTATTCCTCCTTCTCTGATCCCTAGAAGCAGCCATTTATTCAACCAGTGTATTTTTACCTTGATTACTTTTTTTTTTTTTAAGATTTAGAGATTATTTATTGACTTCCTGCTGTGGAAGATAAAGTTTAAGACTCATGTATTCCCCACTCACTGTGTTCTTCCTGTATAATCTAAGGTTAAATCAGATTAAGTGTTTTTATTAATGGAACTTTATAAATATTATTCATACCTGAGCCTTCCTATAATGACATTTCCTTTCTTGTCTTTTTGTTTACTTAAATTCATACTCACCTATAACTTATTCAATCCCAGGTCAGACAGAACTGACAGTCTCCTTTTAATCCATTTGAATGCATTGGGTTTTCTAGTACTTAAATTCATTTTTACTCAGAAACATTTCTCTGGGCCCTCTGCTTTCTTTTCTTTTGGTACTGGGGATAGAACTCGGGACCTTGTACTTGCGGCACCACTGAGCTAAATCCCTGGCCCTGGGCCCTCTGCTTTCCAGGCCCAGTCTAGACCGGCCATTCAGCGGTGCTCTTGACCCTTCTCTTCTCTGGCCATCACACTAGTTTCCCTTTTTCTTTATTGGATCCTATGTTTTCCAGTTTTGTCATTTATCTGCCCACATTGGTGGAGTTCAGTAATTCCCTGAGAAAGTGTACTTCAGGGATAGCATTTATTTGGAACCTTCATCTCTAAAAAATGCCTCTAGGGCCCGGGGTTTAGCTCAGCGGTTCGGTGGCCTGCTTTGCAAGCGCAAGGACCCGAGTTCAATCCCTGGTACCAAAAAAATAAATAAAAATAAAAAATGCCTCTATTTTCCCTTTATCTTGTTAGTATATTGTTTTGTTGGGTACAGAATTCTAGGTTGGAAATAATACCCCCTCAGATTTTTATAGGCATTTCTCCCTCAACTTACAGCTTATAGTTTCTATTGGTCACCCCATGCCAACCCTTCATATAGGGCCTATTTTAGGAAAAGCTTTTTGTCCTTTTTTATCTTTCTTTAATATGTTTTGAGGTAGGATGTTCTCATTTCATATGCTAGACACTTGAATGAACCCTTTTATTCTGTCAACTTACGAATTTCTGCTCTGGAACATTTTATATTACTTTTTTGATAATTTCTTTCCATATAAAGTATTTCAAGTGTTCTTCCTGGTGCTTCTATTACTCAAGTTGTTGAATTTTCTGGATTCATCTTCTGATTTCCTTCTGTTTTTCTCATTCTTCCCTGTCTTTCAACTTTTCAGTTGAAATTTTTATTTCTGCTGAAATATATACAATTGTTCAGTTCTTTTCTCTGAATATTAAAAAATTATGGCTTCATCCCTTCATCTATGGGTTTCATATTTTATTTCTATAGATATTCGTTCTGGGTTTTTGGTCTTAGATTTGTTATTGTGTTGTTGTTTTAATTTTCTTTCTTTCTTTTTTTTTTTTTTTTTTTTTGATGGCACATACTTTTTAATTCATCAAGTACAACACATAAGCCCTTCACATATACGTTGTGCCAGCTAACAGATGAGTCAGCCATCATAAACTGTCAGACCTTGGCTATTGTTTTATGGTTTTAGGCAAGTAACTACAGCACAGCAATATAAATATTGATTTTGTAACTGCTAAAAAAAGTTTTCAGGACTGCATTAGATGCTAATGATAGGCCTACCCAGGCGATTTTAATGTCCATTTTAGAAGACAGTAAATCCTACAGAAGCTTCAGCCTCTAACATCACAGGTTAGCAGTTTTACAAATTTATAAACATTAAATTAATAGGAAGCAATATAAAATTATTCTAAGAGGCATTACTTTCACATAGCCTTCTTTGGTGAACACTGACTGACATGTTGTTCTTCATCTGGGAAGAATTGTGAAGAACATCCAAGTCTTTCAGAAGGATATTCTAGTTTGGATTTTTTGTTTGTTTGTTTTGTTTGACACAGAGTCTCACTGTGTAGTTGAGACTGACCTGGAACGCACTATGTAGCCCAGGCTGGTCTCGAACTCACAGTGATCCACCTGCCTCAGCCTCCTGAGTGCTGGGATTACAGGTGTGAGCCACCACGCCCAGCCCTCTACTTTGGATTTTAATCACAATTTTTTTCTGCAGTGTGGGCTCGTTCAGGCGTCTGAGAAAGTATGTTACATCTATCCATTTGAAGCATTTCTTTTGCCTTTTCCTCCCCTTCCTCTATCTCATGTGCCAGAATTTCAATTTTGTTTTTTAGACTCTGAATTTTCCCAGAGGTTGCCAGGTTTTCCCCTTGCTGGATGCTATCTCTATGTGTTTTAGATGAATATGATTGGTTTGTCCTGCAGAAGAATATGCTTCAGATGATTTTTACTTGTGTTTCTAACCTCTTTCTTGGACAGCTCAACTTCATCATCAGTTGTTCTTTTTGAATTTTTAAAAAATTATTGATACTTTTTCTTGGAAGCGTTTGCTTTACCAGGTATCTTGATCTAAATTGTACAATTGAAATGCTTTAAAAAAACTAATTCTATCTCAGTGTCCCAGAAAGACAGGGATTACAGCAGTGTGCCACCATGCCCAGTCGCAAATTTCTTCGTACTACTGTTAAAGAGAGGTAGGTTCTAGGCCCCCTCTGTCTTACATCTTGGCAGATTCTGCAGTTCACACAACTGGTAGAAGTGATTCTGTTCCAGTTTATTAGCGAAAAAATGAAGAGATTGGCAGCTTTACCTTCCTCTTGCTTGGAAGCACTTGCTCTTGGAACCCAGTCCCCACCATACTGGGAAAACCAGCCATGGAGAGGATGTGTCTGAGAACTGCACTCGGAGGAATTCTTGCCCAAACCTGTTCCTGTTGTTTTACTTTTTTCCTATATCCTGTATTAATGTTTTCCTCAAAGTTTTTTTTTTTTTTCCTCTGTTGATGTTTTACACATTCCACATGTCTGGTGCTACTTGCTTATCCACATCTGAGTGAGGCACTAAAATGCCACTTGTAAAGCTCTGGCTTCTCAGCTTTCTGGTCACTGGAGGGTGATCAAGAAGGAAAATGGCCATTTCAGCAGAAGGTTCCCTTATGTCAGCATCTGCTCACCTTTTCCTGTGACCTGATCAGTTTCCCCAGTGAGGAATTGTGTGTTCCCTGCCTTTGATAAGCAGCTATCTGTGTTGTGGAGTCCAAGCAAGGCAGGAGATCTGGGGAGCTCACCATTTAATACCAACCCCTGCCTAATATTTCTGTTGCCAGCAGTGTACCTCATAAGTGCTCTGGAGGCCTATGTCCTAGAATTAAGAGTTTCTGATTAGTAAACAGCTGATCTTCTGTCCTTGAGAGGGAGATGACTTGGGATCTGAGTGAAGAAAGGAATCAATCAGAATTTCTCATTTCACTGGGGTGATTTTAGTTTTAGATTTTCTTTTTTATAGTAAAACTTAGTGTGAGCCTCCATACTACAGATTTGGCACTTATATTCCATGGATTGTATATTTGCAATTTTTAAATAAAGGATGCTTAAGATTTAGAAGCTTTTTTTCTTATTTTTTTTTCTTTAACACTGCCTTTTACAAATTACTATTTTAAAGAAGTACATTTAAACCAAACATCCTGCCTTAAGAATAAGAAGAGATCTGCTAGGAAGATTTTTAGCATTTGGTATACAGTCTTCTAGTTTAAGCCAAAGCTGACAAAGGGTGGTGATTTTGATGTTAAATTGTTTTTTTTGTTTTTTTTTAATTCCAGTAAAATTTTGGCCAAGTTTTTCTGGAAAATAAAATTCTGTGTTGATCCATGGGCCCATTAGGGGGCGACATAGTACTTTTTAATCTCATGTGCATCTTGCTTGGACCTTCCAACCTGGTAGTCTGGGAGAATGAATAGTGGCCTCCATCAACGGGGCCTTTCTCTTTCCTCAAATTCATCAAAAAATACTTGACTTTTATGGAAGTCTTTGCTTTTCTATTTTAAGAAAATATAGTTTTTGTTTTTGGCAGTACTAGGGATTGAACCCAAGACCTCATACATGCTAGGCAAGCACTCTATCACTGAGCTGTATCCCCACCCTTTAAAAAATTTTTTACTTTGTGTCAGGGTCTCAGTAAGGTTGCCAGGCTGGCCTGAAGCTTGTGATCTTCCTGCCTTGGCTTCTTGAGTAGCTAGCATTACAGGCATGCATCACCATGCCTAGCTCTAGTCTGGTTTTATTTTGATTTTCCAAGTCTATGTGTAAATAAAATTTACAGTGTCCTGTAGTTTAAAGGTTTAGTTTGAAAGTCACTTTTAAAGAACTTTAAGCACAAGTGTGCAAGGGGCCACATAGAAGAATCGAAGAGAAATGAGAGAGAGAAAAAAAGATTCTACACACAAGAATTTTTTCAGGTAAAATTTAAATACAGAAGTAGCTATGATATATATTAAAGCAGCAATGTTCAAAGAAGAAAAACATTATTGCAAATCAAGAATTCAGATAGGCATGTTCAAATAGGTGAGAGTTGAAATATACCTTTGAATACCTGTTGAAGAACAAAAGGTCAAGATATGGAGTCCAGCCCTGTAACTTGAATGGACCAAACTACAGGTCATTCAGGGATGTCTCTTGAGGTGCTCTTCTTTTAGTGCTCTGTCCATGCTGCCCCTGCAGTCTTTTAAGAAACTGCTGCAGTTATCGAACAGGATTTGGTTTGAGACCATCCCTGCCCAGCACCTCGGCTCTGTCCCCAGGCATCAGTCTTCTGCTCATGGCAGTATGATCAGGATAGAGGTGTTGTCCTGGGAGCAGAGTTGCCTCCACATCATTAGCAGTGAGGAGTCTAAGAGGATCCTTCCTGAAGTGGTACCCGGTGACTCATTCTCACTCCAGCTTTGATGATCTTCACTGAAGCTGAGATCACACATGCCCTGCAGAGAACAACAAGAGATTCTTCATCTTGCTTCAGCTGCTGGGCTGAATGTTCCTCAGTTACCAGCTGGACAGAAGGTGATGATGGACCTAAGTCTAAAAATAGGAATCTGTTTGAAGTAGAAATTTGGAATTATTTATAACTCAGGAGGCTGTAGGAGTTACTTTTAATGTAATGGGCAATGATGTCATTGATATATGTACATTGTTTTCCACTTCTAGCCTTTGGAGACTCGACTTATTTCAGAGACCACAAGTATTTGCAAACCAGAACAGGTGGCCAAACAAATTGTTAGAGATGCCATAGTAAGTAAAATCTTTGTTTTGCTTTCTTTGCGGTTTGCCACTATACTGTATTTCTAGAAAGGTATTTCTTAAAGGCCTTTCTTCAAAACAAAAATTACTGTAGTTTTTGGGGTCAGATTTATCATATCTCATAGATTCTACTTTTCTTCCTTGGGACACATTTTAGATTTCTTACTGATAGTAGGTTCCTGGAAACGAATTGTAAACCTTGACCTCAGGAACAGATTTATCAATATGTGTATCTGGAATTTCAGTTCTTGAAGTAGGAACTAAGACTGACACGTGAGGTATAAGCAATATATATTATATAAGTTTCGTTGCTAACAGTATTTTCACTTTTAGGTTATTTTAAAAACCCTATTGCCAGGTTCATTGATTAATGGTTTGTTTTTTTTTCTCCTTGCTGCCTCCTAGTATCATTTTCCAAAGTTAACTAAAGAAAGTGCAGCTGGCCTTGAGAACCTGTCATCCTGTTATCCTCGCTGATGTGCTTTTTCACCTACTGAGTTTTTTGAGACTCACCAGTGGGATCTTTTGGAATCCATGTGCTATTTTGTAGCACAACATGTGTGCCACATGCCTTAATAGCAGTGCTGTTAACTCACATGCAGAAAAATGTACATTTCTCAGAGAAATAGTCTAGGAACTGTCAGCCCTCGCTGACCTTGGAAAATCTTTAGGACGATTGGAATGAGAGGCATCAGAGCATTGTGGTACAGCCCCAAGGTAGTGCATATCTGATTGCGTGAGGCCAAGCTGAGCAGAATCCAGAAAATAATAACCTTTATTAAAATGTATTCCAAGGTGAACAGCTCTGCCCCAGTTTCCTTAAGCATAGGACAAAGACACAAATGGCACAGGTGTGATTTGTTTTTCTTGTTTATTTGAAGTCAAAACCAATACACTGTGGTTTTTAATGATCGTATATAACTCTTCTAATTTTGGCAGAATTCATTTTGTATGGTAGTTTGCAAGCTTTTTCTTCTATTGAGAACATTATACTCATAAATTATTGACAACCTTGGAGAACTTTTGTTTCCCTGGGTTGTATTTATTGATATTTGCCATATGAAAAATTGAAACTGTAATTAAAAAAAAAAAAATATATATATATATATATTGTTGTAATTAATTTAAAACAAGAACAATAAGTCCATTACATTTCAATTGATGCTTTTTACAAAAGTAATTATTTTTCAAAACAAAAATTCAGTGAAAAGAGTGACATTGTTTTATATTTTCACTGTTACTTTAATGTCTACATAGATCTTAAATAGAAGTCCTTAATAGGTTTTAGCTGTATTCTCAACCACTTCTTTACTCAGTTTGTTGTATTGTTTTTTTGATTGGAGCAAATGAAGAAAATCTGACTTTACACACATATGTAGTTGGATGAGGTTGAAGTATTTTACTAGGCTTTTCCTATATTTATGGGGAAAATTTTTATTTTTGATATTAAACCCAAACTGGACAAATAGTTACAGTGTGAAATTAGGAACCCACATCAATGAACTTTTTGTTCTCTGCGACATTAAAATCCATCAGTCTTTCTCACATTTTGAATGAATCCTTTACCCATTCATGATTTTATAACATGCATTAGTCATTTGGAAAATATGGGTTCACTGCCTTATCAAAAAAAATCACATTCACCAAAATCACTGCTGATCTTATCATGAAAGTATGTATTGGGAAGCTACCAGTCTCAGCAGGGTGGATGCAAGTTTTAACAAATCTTAATTTTTCCTTGAAAGCTCAGATTTTAACATCACCTACAAACACATCAAGTTGTTTTCCTCCAGGTGACAGGCTCACTTCATTTTCTGCAAGTCTGAATAAGTTTAGTTTCCCTGTCAGTGGTTCTTCCATGTGAAAATGGTGCTGCATGTATAACAGCAAGTTCAACTCTTGAACAGTTGTACAAGGGCTTTTCTTCTGGGTGGCCATTGTCCTTTGGTACTCAGAAGTACAACAGAAGCACTTTGTGTTAAGTTTCTCATGTTAAGTTTTTGTCACATGGAGTATAGTAGTCCCCTCCATTCTCAGGGACATGTTCCAAGACCCCTAGTGGCTACCAGAAACTGCAGACAGTACTGAACCCTATGTTTTATGAACCCTTATAAAAAGTTTAAATTATGAATTAGATATGAGATACACTGGAAAAAGAGTTATTTGTGTCCTGGATGAGACTTTGGAGAATAGTAGGAGATTCATCACGCTACTGAGAGTAGCATACAATTAAAAATTTATGAATTGTTTATGAGATTTTCTATTTAATATTTTTGGACTTTTACTGTGGGTAACTGAAACCAAGAATGGGGGTGCACTGTATTGAGAAGAACTATCCTCAAGGGTTGTGGTGTAATAAAATGATTAATTTACCAGCTCTATCATAGACATTTTTAAGTAAAATGGATTTTTTTTCTTTATTGGTACATTTTAGGTATACAGTACAGTTACATTCATCATTGGGATCTTGTACCTTTACATGATCTATCTTGGTTCTTATTTTTTCCCCATTCCCTTGACTTCCCTTCACCCCCTCCACCCTTCCCTATTTACAAAGACTTTGTTTCCATTTTTTAAATGGACATTTAAAAATTATTAAAATATTTTTAAAAGTTGTATTTTCCTTGTGTATTATCATTGCAAGGGCATGTAGCAGTGGAGGTGACAGTGATTTCTAGTTCCATTTCTAGAATGTGGGTTTGGGTTCTTGCCCAGCAGTTTTTCCCATCAGTGCAAATATTACTCTGGTGAGAAAGGTTTTATGGTTTGTCTAACTATTGCCCCCAAGCCTTATGTGGTCAGGTGAGGCTTTTTCAGAGGTGTGGCTGGATCTAGAGTGTGTGATATGGGGCTAAAGGGTGAGTGATCACTAAATTGGTCCACTGATTAGTTTGGCATAGTTCTGGGTAGGATTAAAGGTGCCTCCTCTGGGTGTCAGTACTACTTGCTCTAAGAGTAAGAATGTAATGTAAGGGAGAGGAAAAGAGTCTTCACTTGTTTATCACATGTTACTTGCTATTTGCTACTTCATGGCTGGCTGGCTGGCCACCTTCTGCCTACGCTGCTTTCTCATGGACTATTTCTCCGCTGCCATGTCGCTCTGCCTGAGGGCCAGGCAACTATGGACTGAAACTTCTATAAACCGTGAGCTGAAATAAACCTTTCCTCCTTTTACCTTTGCTGCCTCAGCAATGAGAAAAGTAACTTAAGACACAATTTGGTACCAGAAAAGTGGGGTCATTTTTGTGATTGTGCTTGATGATGTGGTTCAGGAGACTTTGGGGCTGGTTTGTGGGGAGTTAGGAAAGGTTTGGAAATGCCAGTTGAAAAAGCTGCCCTGGAATGCGCAAGGCTGTACTTGATGGGAGAACCTGGTTAGAGCTCAGAAGACCAGGATACTGATAGAAATTCTGCTGGTAAAGACAAGACTCAGGGGGTTTCTGCTAGGAAGAAGGACTGCATTGGCTGTTGGACTCAGGAACATGTATGTTATTCCTTGGTAGAAAATTTGTCAGCATTTTGCTCATGTCCAGGGACTTTGCCTGAGAATGAGATTAAAGAGCAGTGGACTACTTAATCTTACAGAAGAAATTCTAAGTCAGTCTAATGTTGAGGTGATGGTATGGCTACTGTTGGCTTTTAGGCAGGGAGCTCCAGTAAAATTGCGGCCTGCAAAGATGGAACAGAGGAGAAACTGGCTGCTGAAAAGACTAGAAAGAAAAAGCAAAATATATCAGAAGACAACAGAAAAGATGGTCTGAGGACATCACAAGAGCCAGAAGGACTCTATCCTTTGCAGCCTCAAAATTTCAAAATTGAGTCTTTGCTTTGAGAAGAGAGCCCCAGAGCACCATGCTCCAGAATGACAGAGGCCTAGGAAGTTGTTCCTCACAATTGGCTTCATAGGTATTTGACCCCTACAACCAAGAGAAAAGGAAGCCTGGCTACTGCTCCAGCTGGCAGCAGACTTTGGAGTCATCCACATGGGGCTGGTTTTAGGCACATGCAGAACGCAAGAGATGTTGGATGAGGAAGGCTTCCACCCAGAGTTCAGAAGAAGGCCTGGGAAGCTAGGCAGTGTGCCGGAGAGGGCAGGGTGTAAAGCTGTGAGTGTGAAGTCAAAGGTGCAGTGGAGACCCCAGACATTTGGAGAGGCCAGGAATGTGGATTGTCTGAAGAAAACTGCACAGAAGTAACAGCTGGCCTCTGAGAAAAGCCATGGGAGCTACAACCATTGCTAGTGCCATAGGGGTGGAGCCACCTAATCTCTTAGGAGTTCACAGCTTGCCACAGATTGCAGGGGATGCTGGACATGGAACTGTAGGACTACTTGCACTAGTGCAATTTGGTCTTTCTTGGTTCCCATTCCTCCTATCACTCTCTTTGTACCTTTTGAAATGGAAATGTCCATCTTGTGCCATTGAATGTTGAAAGCGTTTCACTTTCTTTTCATTTGTTCAAGGGCTTGCAGCTAAGAGTTTGCTTTAAATCTCAGAGGAGATTTTGGGCTTTTCAGCCATACTGAAATAGTTAGGATATTGGCAACTCTTGGAGATGGACTAAATATCTTTTGCATAAAGAGATGTGCATGAGTCTTAGTGGGGACCTGGGGCAGAATGCTATGGTTTGTGTCTAACTGTCCCCCCAAAGCCTCATGTGCTCATAGGTGAGGCTTTTTCAGAGATGGCTGAATGTAGAGTGTGTGATGCTGGGATTGAGGGTGTGTGATCACAAAATAGTTCACTGATTGCTTTGGCAGAGTTTTGGGTAGGATTAAGGGTGCTCCACCCTGGGTGGGAGAGCTACCTGCCCTAAGGGTAAGCTTGTAATATAAGGGACGGAAAGAGGGCTGTTGATTGTCACTTGCTGCTTGCTATTTCACTGCTGGCTACCTTCTGCCTGCCTTGCTTTGCCATGGACTGTTTCTCCTCTCTGGTATCCCTCTGCCATGCCAGTCTGCCTTGGGGCCAGCTGACTATGGACTGAAACCTCTACAAACTGTGAGGTGAAATAAACCTTTTCTCCTTATACCTTTGGGTGTTGAGTATTTTTTCTCCGCAACAAGAAAAGTAACTAGGACAAAAGGCAATTAATGTTTTAGTACTATGATCATCATTTTGTCCATAGGTACCCCTCAAAGAGTCTTGGAACTCCTCGGGGGTTCTGTGGACTTGTGATTTGAAACTGCCCATCTGCCAAGGGTATGTGTCTATTTATGAGGTCTGATTTATGCTCTGCACCATCCTATCTCACCTAATGTGAACGAGTATGCTTCATTGTTTCTAGTTTTGCATTGATTCCTTTCCATTTACTACAATCCTTTTCTCTTTTCCTTCACTTTTAGCAAGGAAATTTTAATAGTTCCATTGGCTCAGATGGTTACATGCTGTCATCACTGACCTGTGGGATGGCTCCAGTAACTTCCATCACTGAAGGACTCCAGCAAGTAAGCTCTGCCTTGACCATCAGTCAACCAAATAGATAAAACTGCTCTGCATCAGACCTCTAAAAGAGGCTAGGGCTGGGGATTTATCTCAGTGGCACCACGCCTGCCTTGCAAGCGCAAGGTCCTAAGTTTGATCCCCAGTACCAAAAAAAAAAAAAGAGAGAGGCTAAGAATAGACTAAGTAGCTTTATTTGAGAATATGAAAACATTTTGTTGAGCTGTTAACTTTCTTTTCCTGTACCAGCAGCAAGTAAATAGAAAGTAGATTAAGGATATAACCTAAGGAACATAGAATGGAAAGAAATTTTCAGTGCTGGGCCCTGTAGATAGGAGGTACGATCAAAAACTATATTGAATGGTTAAATTAAAAATTAAAAAAAAAAAGATTAAGTAAAAGACATATGGCCAAAAAAAAGACACATGGCCATTAATCCACCTTAATATACTCTCCCTCACATCAAGCATACTTACCACACAGCTTACTGCTTTCTGAAGCAATTCTGAAAGTTTTTTTTCACAAATGTCTTTTCATGGCTGCCTTAATGTCCTGAATTGATTAAAAATGTTTACAGAAATTTGTCAAAAAAGTAAAAAAAAAAAAAAAAAAAAAAATGTGTTCTCCTCTACGTATTCACTAGATCTGGCACCATGCAACTCTGGTTCTTCCCATGAAAGGTAAACATTTTGAGTCCATTCAGGACATCAAAGCAGCTATGACAGTGTGACTTAAGACACTCATGAAATAAGACTTCCAGAACTGCTTCAGAAAGGGGCGAGAAGATAGGGTATGTGTGCTCAAAAAAGAGAGAGATTATTTTCAGGGGGATTAATAGTGTGCATTTTACTGTAATAAATTTTTTAAAAAATTAAGCATTCACTGTATTTTTTAATCATACTTCATAGATAAAGTGCTGTCTCTGATGCTGAATGTTAATCTGGGTTTTCACCTGTGAGCTACTCCTCCGAAATAATGGAAACATAGAGATCATTGTCTGCAGTAGTTTAGGGTGGGCTTACAAATAATTACAAATAATGAAATGCTGGACTAGAAATTGTCCTTTGATGAGTTAGATCACCAGTAGCTCAGCCAAAGGAGACATAGTCAAGGATTAAACATAATTCCTATCCCTAGAAATTTATAGTTTTGTCCAGGACACACAAATTACTGGACATTAATTGTTCATTGATGTACTTTTCTGGGTGCTGTTCACTCTGGAGATGTTAGGCAACTGCTAACCACAGAGCACCTGCAGTCTGGTGGAAGAGACTGATGAGAAAAGTATTAGTAGTTCAGGGCAGTATAATTAGAGTTCTAATAGAGACACTGCCCCTGAAGCAAAGCTAAGGGTTGGTTTGTAACAGAGCATTAAGTTCTGTTCAGGGGACCACCTAAGACTAAGACAAATGATTTTATTACTAGTGTTCCTCAAGGTCTTTCATAAGTCCTTTTTCTTCTCTCCCTAAGTACATCCACAATTTTGTCATTTTCTTTTTCTGATAAGTAGACTCTGTTGGATATATGCTCTTGGGAGACAGGGTCCCTATCTCTCTTGTATGTCCTTGTGCCCCAGGCAGCAGCTGTCTGCCCAAACAGGAATTCCAGAATGCCTGAGTTGGTCTAGTGCACAGAGTCCATACCTTCTTGAGTGATCTGATCGTTTTCTCATGACTGCTGCCTCCACACACATGTGCCACATAAAGTCCAGCCCATAACTACCTGCTGACTCCCGTTCTGTGTTTTCCCTGGAAAGTGACTACACATCCAGTTCAACAGAGCTTCGTATTTCCCCAGCATTCTGTGGTTTCCCCCTCCTCCTGCCACCTTAGTTCCTTCTTCATGAGTGGTGCTCACATTCACTCACCTCAGCCGGAAACTAGGTGTAGTCCCTGACTCCCCTGCCCCTGCCCCTCCCCTGCCTCTGTCTTCCCCCAGCCTCATTTCCTCCTTTTCATTAGCCCCAGTGCTGCTTTTGGCTCAGTCCTGGCTTCTTGCAGTTAATGTCATACCTGAGTTGTGTAATTTGTGAGCGAGAGGTTGTTAATGAGTGACCTGGGGGCCTGCAAAGCATTGTTTTGGTTCACATGGTATTAGTGTGTGTTTAGCTTCAAAATTACATTTTTACATAAAAAGTCCAGATTTCAGACTTTTCTTGGCAAATCAGGTCTGGCTAAACAAGAGCTGCATTCTCAGCAGGCGGTAATCACTGGAGACGGGTGGCAGCTGCTCCCTTATAACAGTCACCGCCCACTCTCCCATCCCCCAATCCCTTGGTCTACAACATCTTGCCCAGGCCTGCCAGATGCATTTGAGTGTGCCATCACCTTGCCACCTGTGTTTTTAGACTGCAAATCTACCCTGCATGAAGCCTTCTGTGGCTCCCCAGTACCATCAGGATGAAGCTTAAATTCCAGCACATAGCCCAAGTCCTCTGAGCTGCCAGCACCACTGACCTTTCTGATTCCTTCTCTTTCTTTCTGTACCCTCCTCCCTCTATTCTTTATGGGACTTTCTCTATGGCCCTCATCCCCAGATTTCCTTTATCTTGCCAACTAATCTTCCTTTAGGTCTGAACTGCAACTTTGCTTTTACTGAAGACTCTAGGACTGGATACAGTACCTGTACTTACCCCTGTGGTAGTTCTTTATAAGGCTGTATTATAATAGTTTTTTCTCAAGTTTCTCTCTCCCTTATTTAAAAAACGTAATCAGCTTTGTATTGTAAAACTGTTTTTAGGTTTATAGAAAGCATGGAAAGTACAGAGTTCCCATACACCCCGCCTGCACACACAGTTTCTCATGTTATTAATATAGTGCCTTGGCATCATACATCTGTTTCAGTTGATAAACTGGTATCGACATGTTATTATCAACTAAAGCCTGCACTTTACGCTGTTTTACTCTTGATAGTATGCATTTCTGTGGGTTTTGACAAATGCCTAACAGGTATCTCCCATTATAATGTCATGCAGAATAATTTCACTGTCCTAAAATTTCATTGACTGGCATCTTTTCATCCTTCCCTTTGGCCTCTGCCTACCAGTGAACTTTTTACTGTCTTCTTAGTTTGGTCTTTGCTAGCTTCCCTGTGTTATTTATATTTTTCAAATTTACCCTTGGTCTTTGCTAGCTTCCCTGTGTTATTTATATTTTTCAAATTTACCCTACTTTGAAACTAGTGTTCAGTTGCTCTGAAAAACAGTGGACCCTTGTTAAGCATGGTGGCTCACACCTTTAATCCCAGCAACTCCAGAGACTGAGGCAGGAAAATTGCAAATTTGAGACCAGCATTGGCAATTTAGCAAAACTCTGTCTCAAAATAAAATAAATTAAAAATAAAATAAATAGCTGGGGTTGTAGCTCAGTGATAGAGCAGTTCCCTAGTACGTGGGAGGCCCTGGATTCATTTCCCAGGAATGAAAAAAAGAAAAAGAAAGATAAACAGTGGGCCCTCCTTCAGATTCCTACTCTGCACCTTTCTCAAGGGCACTTGCTCTCTGTTCTTGTGTAGTTGCATCCCTCCCTCAGATTTCATACCTCCCTTGCTCCTTTTTCTCTTCCTTGGTTTGACATATCAGATTATTGCCTTCGCTGTGAGAGATGAGGACTTAACTCTTCTCTTTACATCCTCCTCCCCACTCTCACTTTGTTACATTATTTATATTGTCATTTGTTAGGTATGTGTTTGAGAAGATCATTTTTGTGATTACTTAAATACTGTTCAGAGCTGAGTGTCAGGTGCATGTCATATATGATGATTACTTTTCCTGTTCAAAAAACCCAACTTTTTGTTTTCTCCGAAATTATTTTTTGACCCTTTCCCATGTACTGTTTCTATGTATTATTAGTTCAATCTTAAATTCTTTTCGAAGGATATTCATCTCCTCTCCATATATAGTATTCAGAAATACCAGCTGTGTCTGTTTCCTTCAGGAGGGAGTTCCTCCTGGAGCCCAGGCCTGCCAGTCAGCATCACCGCACAGGCATGGCCCAGAGCTGATGCCTGGTTTCTCCCCTACCTGGTGGTTCTGGAAAATACCCCTGCCTGTTTTTATGTTGAGAACCTTGTTTCCTGGATCCCATGACAGTGTCTTTCTTTGTTGATCCCCTCATTTTGTTTACCTGTTATAGTAGCTCTCCAGGGGTGGGTGGGTGGGTGTGTGTGTGTGTGTGTGTGTGTGTGTGTGTGTGTGTGTG